GATATTCTATGAGAATGTCAGATTATCTATTCTGACAAAATAAATGTTTTGAATGAATGAATATTTTGAACCATCAATTGAAGAATAAAAACAAACATTACATTAATTCTTACAGAATACGGGTAATAATTGCTAACAATTACATTTATTGTTAAAGAATAAAACTAAAAAAACTTTCAAATCGGGAAAGAAAACATCAAAATCTAACAACGAGTAATACATTCTAAAAGAATAATGTGGTCGTTTCAATTTTGTGGTCCGTTCTTCAAGCATCAACTTCTGTGATTCCAACAGAATTGGAATTCGTGATTCCATTCCAACAGAATTGGAATTCGTATCTTACCTAACCAATTGCAAATAAAATCATATTCCCCAGCATAAACGAGCATCTGAATACCATCTTCTAGAAGCACTGGAGTCCCAACCTTGAAGTTGGAACACAAGAATACCCCGCTTGACTTAGGAAAAGTCAAAATTGAACCACTTCACATCTATCATGAATTCTGATTGACATCCATTAAACCCGATGTATGTTCTAAATTCAATTCTGATCGTGATTGATCTGGATTTTGAAGATATGATTTCGACTTCCAATGAAGCTTAAAATACACAAACCAATTTTCTATCCTCTGATGCTCGAACAGTGAACAATGATACCGAGTTTTGCTTCTGAATGATTTTAGTTGCAACATTCAATCCCAAGTTAGTAATATTCGAAATCGCTGAAGGCTGATACGATCGATTTGCTTTACCTCCCGATTCCAAATCAATTACACATTCAATTATAAGCGAGCCTTCGTTTAGGGTTAATGCGATTTCAAAATCGAGTTAAGAACTGTGATTCTAAAGATTACACATCGTTCCAAGTATGCGACTGATCTCCGAACGAAAGTGGCTTGTGCGAATTTGATTCCAAGTGCAAATCATAATCAACAAAACAAAAGCAGAATATAAAACTTGAACATGAACGAAAGTGTTACAGAGCGAAACCGATTTCCCCTGACTTTCGCTTCTTGACCTGCAAATTCAGGTGAGTTCGGTGGCGATGGTGGCTCGGTGGTGGCTGATGGTGTTGGTCGGCGAACGGGCAAGCTCCAGCATCTTATCTTCTTCAATCATCGACATCGGTTAGGTTGAAAAAGTAAGGATGAATCGGTGATAAAGAAGCAGTAATGGTTTCAAGGGATTTAAAGGAAAGCAATCCAATATTTTAGGGATTAATTAAATTTTTATTTAATTAACAAAATTAATTAATAGGTAAAATTATATATCCTTATTTATGTTTTTGAAATGATTGACCCACATTTATACATACAACAACACAATAATTAGTTTAAACAAATAAGATATATATATATATATATATATATATATATAGATATATATATATATATTTAGTTATAACCCGTGAAAACCACGGTTATAAATATAATTAAACTTTTATATTAAAAAATCAAAATTATTAATCAATTATTTTTAATAAATTATTTCTTAAAAGGTATTTTTTTAGTTATATAAAATTATAATCGTTAATTTAAATAAATACGTGAAGTTATATTACCTTATAATCTGTATAAATTTTATTTAATTTTTCAATCTAATGTTATTAATTTAATATAATTAATGTAAAAAAGTTTAAAATTTAATATAATTAGGGTGAGAAATTTAAAATTTGAAATGGATAATTAATATGTTGACAAGTAGCATGATATTAGACATATAATATTAATGAGGAGGTCTAATGTAATGACACTTGTCAATACTAGAGGAAATCTATTTATTTATTAATATATATATATATATATATATATATATGGGTAAATACCATAAAAGACACTACGTTTACACGAAAATTCTAATTTGACACTGTGTTTTCTAATTTGTTACAATTCTGACCATTTGACCGGTCAACCCGGTTACTTGCTGACGTGGCATGATGACGTGTCAGTTTTGATGACGTGGCATGCTGACATGACATGCTGACATGTCAGAATTGAATTATTTTTTTCCACAAAAGACACTAAGTTTTTAATTTTTTTCGATTTTGACACTACGTTTATTTTTTTTTTCAATTTTGACACTTTATTTTTTTGTTCCAAATCGAACATCATTTTTTTTCAATTTTGTTAAATGCGGACCATTTTCCATTTGAAACCGTATAAATATTTTTTTAATACATGTCAGCATCCACGTCATAAAAACTGACATGTCATCATGCCACGTCAGCATGTCATGTTAACATCCCACATCAGCATGTCATGTCAGCATCCCACGTCATCAAAACTGACACGTCATCATGCCACGTCAGCAAGTAACCGAGTTCAACGGTCAAGTGGTCAAAATTGTAACAAATTAGAAAACACAGTGTCAAATTTGAGACAAAAAATAACACAGTGTCAAATTAGAATTTTCGTGTAAACGTAATGTCTTTTGTGCTATTTACCCTATATATATATATAGATATATATAATATATATATATATATATATATATATATATATATATATATATATGTGTATATATATATATATATATATATATATATAGATATATATATATATAGAGAGAGAGAGAGAGAGGATGGTTCAATTGAGAAAAAAAAAGGTTGAGAATGGGGGAACCATTCTCAGCCAATCATTTAATAAGCTTAAAAACGCGCGGTGACAAACTTGTAAATAATCCAAATACATTAATGAGCGGTGGCAAATTTGTAAATAATCCAAAATCATTAAACCGTCAGGGCACTTGAGTAATTTTATCACACATCAAATCTCGACAGAAAACCATCATTTCCCTCTTCGATACCCCATAACACGAAAACCATTTGCAGAAGCATTCAGTAACATAAAGGATACTCAACATCCAGAAGAAGAAAACGAAGAAAAATGTTTTCTGACGAAAGCATAAATGAAACTATTTCCTCACTCTTGACTATGAAAGGTAACCATCGGCGTTTTTTTCTTCGATTTTTAACGATTTCTAATCATTTCTAAAATTGTCACTTGATTACTTGAAAATTTCTGTAATCTTCGTTCATTATTATTTGATTTAGAAGTAAAAATTTTGTTTTCACACTGTTCATTCTTCAAACTAGGTTGTTTACTTCAAATTTTGTGATAATCGTTCATTTTCGTAACCCTCCTTCGTTATTACTTGATTTACTTGAAATTTTTGTAAGAATCATCCATTATTAGTTGATATATAAATGATTTTACATATTCTCTTCATTTTTCATACTTATTCACAACTTTTCTGTCAAAATATAAACGTTACTTCACATTTCGCTTATGTTTTCCTAATATTAACTACTTACCCTTACAGAAACAACACCAGCAGTGAAGCATACATATAGACGATAAACAAAAACAAATGAAAAAGGTAAATAAAATAGGTATTCCATTTAGATCTGATTAACTTAGATGGAATTTTACTTAAAATACAACAGAAAGTGAACATATTGAAGATAATTTTGTTTTGATATGTTTTATTTACTTCTGAACACAAGCAAAACTAATATTCATATGTGAATACAGCAAAAATAACTTATATATGTTCTATTCACATTTGAATATAATATACATATTCATATGTGAATAAAAAATATGAATATATATGTTTTATTCAAATATTCATTTGTGAATATGTATGTTATATTCGCATATGAATAAAACATAATTTGCTGTCATATATACATTATTCAAATATGAATACAACAAAAATAACTTATATATCTTCTATTCACATATGAATATAATATACATATTCATATGTGAATAAAAAACATGAATATATATGTTTTATTCAAATATTCATTTGTGAATATGTATGTTATATTCACATATGAATAGAACATAATTTGTTGTCATACATACATTATTCAAAATATGAATACAACAAAAATGACTTATATATCTTCTATTCACATATGAATATAACATATTTTGAATAATGTATGTATGACAACAAATTATGTTCTATTCATATGTGAATATAACATACATATTCATATGTGAATAAAAAACATGAATATATATGTTTTATTCAAATATTCATTTGTGAATATGTATCTTATATTCACATATGAATAGAACATAATTTGTTGTCATACATACATTATTCAAATATGAATACAACAAAAATGACTTATATATGTTCTATTCACATATGAATATAACATACATATTCATATGTGAAAAAGAAAATGAATATATATGTTTTATTCATTTGTGAATATCAAACTCATTTATCTTCTACTCACTATTGAATGAAGGTAAGAAGAATAACATTTCCGATAAAGATTCACCAACAATGAGAGAAACACGATCAATGCATAAAAATAAAAAAGGTATAAAATACATATCATATCTTCTATATCCCTGCTATAATTTATAAATAACTTGTATATTCCACCTATAATTTTCTTCTATTAACATATGAATAATTCAATCTGTATATGTTTTATATTAAAAATAACTATTGAATTCTTGTATTCGTATATGAATAAATATATGGCTTAGCTTTGTTTGTATTCAAAAGCTAATCATATGTGAATGGAAACAAGTATTCATCTTCTACTCACTAATTCATGAATGTAAGAAGATTTGTATTTCTAATATATTCATATATGAATAAAATTGTATATCTTAGTTATATTTTTGTAATAAATAAATATTAATAAATATTATATGTTTTCATTTCCCAGATAAAAAAGTAACAAAAACACCAAAGAAAAGAAAGCATCAAAGCAGAAAAATTCCATCAAAAAGGAAAACTCCTGAAAAACGACAACTACATGATTCAAAATCTGATTTTGAAACTAGTCGTCCATCAAAGAAGGCAAAAAAAAAGGAGGCACCAATCAAGAAAGAGAAAAAACCAGTGGTAAAGGAATTTTACTCAATGAAAAAAAAACAGATGTTCACCAGAGTCATTACTATCTATAATCCTTGGTTTGAGCAAAAATATGTGTAAGATCTATGGGTTTTGGAAGTTTGCTAAAAATGAAAATCATAGATATACCACTGAAGGTGGGATTTTATGTTCTTCAAAAATTTGATTCTGAGAGAATGCTGATAGATGTTGAAGGAAAGGAACTGAAAATGACAGCACAGTCTGTTAATGACATGTTGGGCATTCCAATAGGTGGAACCATACTTACACAACTGGATCAATGGCCTAAAGATGATACTAGTTATGATGAATGGAAGCAACGGTTTCAAGAAGGATCAATCATCCGATTGAATGCGATCAAAAAAGTTATTGTTAGTACAACAAAAGCTGATTTCAATTTCCAATTGAACTTCTTAGTTCTTTTTGTCAACACGTTTTGCGAGTCAACATCAATGAGAAGATGCAACCTGTTTCCTTTGAGTTATATTTCAAGAAAAACAGATATCAGCAACATAGACTGGTGCAACTATGTTTTGGACTGTCTTGTCAGAACAAAGAACTCATACATAACATACTTAGATAACAGCTACTTTGTTGGACCTTCAGCTTTTTTGGTGGTAAGTTATTATAATGTTTATACTCAATTTTTAATAATATTAATTATTCATAACTGAATAGCACATATTCATATATGAATAAGAAAAATATACTTGTTCACATGTAATGCTTTACATTACTTATTCATATATGAATAAGTAAAAAATAATATTACTTGTTCATATATGAATATATATATATATATATATATATATATATATATATATATATATATATATATATTCATGTATGAATAAGTAATGGTTTGAATTACTTATTCATATATGAATATCAATTAGTTATCATTTATGTGCAGTTGTTCTATGCTGATAAAATCCACTCAGAAGCTTTAACGGTAACACGTAAACGTCCAACAATTTGTTATTGAAGTTCAGAGAAGATTAGATATCGAGAGACATTTGAACAAGAAGAAGGTAGATTTAGACTTGGAGAATTAAATGAAGAATTTGTTAATGAACAAGATGAAGGAGATACAGATCTCGAAGACAGTGATTCTGATAAAGATGAAGATCATTCTGTTGAGGTAATTAGTTTGAACATGTTAATAATATATGATTACATTAAATTATTATATTAAATTCTAATCATACTTCTTTTTATTACATAGGCATATGAATCAAAAATATCTAAAATGCTTAATAGTTTTGAGAGGATGAAGGAAAAGCTGAATTCAAAGCTCAATGATGCGATAACAAAGTTCCCTGAAAAGGAAAGTTTTAGGATTTTCAAAGAAAAGATGACAAATATAATTGTTGAAGAAAAAATTGAAAGCACAACACTTTTTGAATTTCCAAGTAATGAAACTGGAGTTGAAGGAATCAATTTGACACCAATAATGGGTCAAAAAACAAATGATCAAAAAGAAAATGAAGATAAATAGGGAAATGGTGAAGAAGACAATGATAATGATGAAAGTCAACTGTAAGTAGATTATTTGCTTGATTCAAATGAAGCAGAGAATGAAGGAATAAAGAATGATGGAGATAAGAATAAAAAAGAAGGTGAAACTGGAGTAAAAGAGAAAGATGGAAAGAACAATGAAAATGACAATGATGAAGAGAAAAGAAGATGATAATGCTGAAGAAACAAAAAATCATGAAGAGACTATTCAACAAACTGAAAATGAAAATTTGTTGGATAAAATTGTTGACAACATTGTGGATGATGTCCTTGGAATTGGAATTTCAAGTTTAAATAGTCAAGAAGATGAAATCTAGAATGACCCTGAAATGAAAACTATTTTGGATAATATTGATATAGGTAAATTTTGTGTTACTTTTATTTTAAAAAAATATATAAAAATATTAATACACAATAACAATTTTGTTTATTAAGTTTTGACCAGGGTCACCAATGACTAGAAGTAAAACTAATACTCTAATCAGTCAAGTTACTCAAGGTAGGTTACTATCAACTTATTATTTATTGTGACATCCCCATTTTCATGGTCACAAAAGACCGATTTTTTTTATGCTTTATAAAAATCAGAGTACCTCTTTTAATAAAAAAATGTTGCGGAATTTGTTCCCAGAAAAACATGATAAATACGTTATCAAAGCATTTCAGAAGAAATGTATTTTTGTTCATTTTAAAACATTTGGGATGTCATCATCAATATAGAAACATAAACATAAACATAACTTACATTCATTTACACTAGTGATCTACATCTCTTTAATCTCTCAGTGTAATGTAACTTCATATCGACACATATGATACAAATAAGCTTGAGTGGGTCAGGTTAGGAAACCTGGTGAATACATAGGGTTTTCAACCCACAATAATTTAATTATTATGTTTAAACATCAAACAATCAACCCAATTACCCATCCCCATTATCTTCCTTACTCTTAAGGTCTATCCTAAGAGTCATTTATCCTGCATTCGTTCATTCCCAAGTCCATTGCTTCCAGGGTTTATATGACAGACACTAAGTCCATAGCTGCCAATGCTCGTTCGTAAAGCACTAATTCCATAGCTGCTAAAGTTCATTCATCGGGTACTAAATCCATAGCTACCAATGTTTATCTAATAGTTACTAAGTCCATAGCTACCAACGTTTATCTAACAGGTACTAAGTGCATAGCTACCAACGTTTATTCAATAGGCACTAAGTCCATAGCTGCCGATGTTATTTGTTAGGCACTAAGTCTATAGCTGCCAATGTTCACTCATATCATCTTTCATCTCTCATCATTTATCTACCCATGTTTTACCCAACATATTCGTAGATATAAAATACATATATAGTTTAAATTATTTAAAACATGTATAAAATCGTTCATACAGCATAGGTAACAAGTATACAGACAGGGGCCAGACATAAAACACCGGAGGGCAGGACCATTTTAGCATATAGCACTTCTGAAATCCATCAACCCTATGCGGCCCTTTAAACCAGATTTCCCGTACCGCGAGTAGTTAAAAAGATATTATAACGACACTTATATAACCCACAATAATAGCTCAAATAATTATTGTAAGGTCCTAATAACGTTACTATATTTAAATAAAAGCTATATTAAAAATTAGGTAGGCGTATCTTACCTACGAGGGGGTTTGGCTAGAAGCCGGGCTCTGCAGGGGCAGGACTTCCGAGCCGAAAGCTCTTCTTCTCGGAGCCGTCGAGCGCTCCGGGGCTTTCTTCTAGTGCTAGGGGAGTTTTTTTTTGGGAGGTTTAGAGAGAGTGTAGAGAGAAGAAAGAATGGGAAAGTTGTGAAGAAAATGAGAGTGGAAGGGGTTGTATTTATAGGGTGAAATATGGCTGAAATTGGTGCCACATGTCACCATCTAGTGGCAAGCCTTGGGGGAGAAAGCAATGGCCAAGATTGTGCCACATCACCCATTTTCGCACAACACACTTCCGACTTCTAACATCCGTAACTTTCGCATACGAGCTCCATTTTTGACGTTCTTTATATCCACGCGTAGGTAAAATTATGATCTATAACTTTCCTTTTGACTCCGTCGGCTAATTCTCGACCGATCTTAAATTGAACAGTAGAAGGTGACTATACTGTTAAACGTTTGCGTAAAATTCATAACTTCTACATACGGACTCCGTTTTCGTCTGTATTTTTGTCGTTAAGTTCCTATTAATGAGATCTTCAATTCTCATTTAGGTCGCGTTGGCCAAAAACTGCTCAATCTAAAATTCGAGTTTCGGGTCGTGCACTGCTAGGCCAAATCTTAGAAAAATCATAACTTTCTCATACGAAGTCAAATTTGGGCGTTGTTTTTATGCACGCTCTCAGTTTAACGTATACTACAACTTTTGTTTAGATCACTAAGGCCAAATAGTCCTCTATCGTAAATTCACTATTTACGTCGCGTAGTGCCGTGCCGGTTTTGTCGCGAAACTTCGACCGGCCATAACTTCTTCGTTATAACTCTTATTTCGACATTCTTTATATGTATGGAACCCTTGTGACATATTCTACAACTTGGTTAAGATTAATCCTTCCAAATAATCTTCCATCAAAAACTCATTTTTGATGTTCACTGTCTCTAAATTGACTAGCCCGGATCTACGGGCGTTATATTTATTCACTAATTCATTAATTAATTATATTTAATATATAACATTAAGTGGATCTTGCAGAAAAGGAAAAATCAGAAGGTGTAGATAAACAAGGAAAAGAAGTTTAAAAAAGTAAGGGAGATGATACAGGTAAATGAATGATTTAAAATATATTACAATATTTATATTGATTTTTTTAATAACATTGTTTATTCATAAGTGAATAATACACTATATAAATGAGTAAAAAATATAAAATATTCATATATTATGTATATGTTTCAGGCAAGGAAAACTCTAAACATGGAAATAAAGGAGGAGCAGAAACTAAGAACACGAAAGATGGAGGTGAAGAAACAAACAGAAATTGAGAAAGGAAATGCAGAATATAGAGGTAAATAGTTGATTCACTAATAAATGAATATAATAAGTTTTATTATTCACAAATAAATAACACAATATACGAATAAATAAAAAATATAGTATTACTTATTCATATATGAATACATTACTTATTCACAAATGAATTACTTAATCAAATTTCTTTATCTTTCAGGAAAGAAAAAGTCAGAAATTGAAAACAAAAAGGACAAAAAGCTGACAAGACAAAAGGAAATGAAGGAGGTAACAATTTGGAAAAACATTTCAAAATATAAAAAAATATTATAATTAACTTACAACTATTTATATGATAAATCTCCTGGCATGTAGATACTCATCCAAGTTTTAGTCTAGGTCTCAGTCAAGATTCAGATCAAACTTCAAGTAAAAAATCTAATGAATCTTCACCAAAAAAACCACTTACAAAGAAACAAATCAAAGACGACCATCAGAAGGTTGTCATCAGATTAGCAAACAAAAATGTTCTTAATCCAAAACCAATCTCTGTAGCAATTCCTACTGAATTAGGACCATCAAAGCATGATCTGGATGAACCAAGAGAGAAGAAGCTTGCCGATGCTTTCAAATCACATTTCAAATGCAGAATAATAGACACAAAACCTAAACTGACACATCAGGAGAGTATTGTCTGTGAGTGGTTGTTCAACTTGCAAGGGAATACATCGTAAGTAACTTTATTTTATACACATTCATATATGATTATTATATAGATAATAATGTATGACATTTTGATTATATATTTGTAGAGATGTGGTTGTCCAGACAAAATATGGTCAGATAACAGAAAGAGCAATTATGGAAAGTCTATATGCAAGCACAAAGATTTTTGGAGAAGTTTTAGACACTTGGGTTGATTTACTTAACCACCAAGAATTGGAAAGGGATTTTGGAAATTCACCATACAGACTCTTCTTGAAAGTTGCAGTTTCTGTAAGTTTATGTTTTAACCTTAATTTCTTCTTTATTGATAAATGAATACACCAATATGATGTATTCATTTATGAATATTATATTTTTTTACAACTGAAATTCACATATGATTATACCAATATGATGTATTCATTTATGAATATTATATTTTTTTACAACTGAAATTCACATATGATTATGCCAATATGATGTATTCTTTAATATAATTATGTATATTCAACTGAAATTCACATATCATTATGTATTCATCTTTGATTAACAAACAAAAATAAATATATTTAGTATATACTTATGCTTATTATACCAACATGATGTATTCATTTATGATTAACAATTTACTAATCCTTTAAAATTATATTGGTTATAGACTGCTTATCTAACTTCAACATTGTCTGATGAAAGAAAGTATGAAAAATTTAAGGAGAACTTTCATGACAGTACCGATGGGTACAAAAAAATCTTGAACATAAAAGATATTGACATGGTATGTTAATTAAACTTGTTTTTTTATATATATTTTATCAACAAAATACTTACCATTATATACATAAAAACAGGTCTTCTTTCCATTTGTTAGAAGTGGTCACACTTTTGTGATTGTCTTCAACTTAAAGAAACCATCAATTGAAATTCTGGACAACAGTGCAGTTGAGGGGGATTATGAAGGGAAATACGGAGTACTATTGAAACCTTTGGTATGTACCCATTTTCGCACAACACACTTCCGACTTCTAAAATCCGTAACTTTCGCATACGAGCTCCGTTTTTGACGTTCTTTATATCCACGCGTAGGTAAAGTTATGATCTATAACTTTCCTTTTGACTCCGTGAGCTAATTCTCGACCAATCTTATATTTAACAGTAGAAGGTGACTACACTGCTAAATGTCTGTGTAAAATTCATAACTTCTACATACGAACTCCGTTTTCGTCTGTATTTTTGTCGTTGAGTTCCTATTAATGAGATCTTCAATTCTCATTTAGGTCGCATTGTCCAAAAACCACTCGATCTAAAATTCGAGTTTCGGG